ATAATAATAATAATATATATAATAATATAATAATAATAATATTGCCTAAAGATATACTTACGTAAGTTATTTAAATACCAAGCTGTTCTTTGTATGTTACTTAGAATCCTTAGTAATTAAAATTCTCGTCTATAGGTAGCGTACTTAGTAGTAGCGAAACAGCTTAAATCTTTTTGGGTGCCTACCTACTCTAAAAAGCAAAGACTCGAAATAAATAGATTGAGCCTAGACCTCTCAAAATACATAAACCAGCCTTACATTTGAGGCAGCCCTAACGTTACACATAACTAAAGCAAACACCAGCCAAAGGGCTAAAAGCCAGGAACTAGGGTTGTCTCGACGCAAACAAATGGAGACAGGCGGTCGCAACGCAATTACTGAACTCCCTCTCAAATGTCAGTAAGAACGTCTCGACAAATGTAATGAGTATCAGCACAACCAGCGCCGTATTATCCTTAAGGGAAACTGGGCAAGCGACTAGGGCGCCAGGTACACATAGAGCTCAATTTCGCAAAGAGTTGAGGCGGCATCAAAAAAAAATTTGGGGCTCTCCACTTTGTGCCTTCGCCGGATCATTAATTATTTTGGACTTAAAGCGAGACGCGGGGAGAATAGTTTGGAGTAGCTCATTGTCGTGGGAAACGACTGCACGGTTGGGGCGGTAGCTGGGCAACCGGCTGCCGCGCAACGTGTGTTCCAACCAACCAACGTGGGTTCGATTACTGCACGGAATAAGTGTTTGTGTGATTCACAAATTTTTGTTTCGGGGTTTGGATGTCATGTGTAATTTGTATGTTTTAAACGTATCCACGATACAGGAGAAAATTTTAGTGTGGGGCAGTCTTCCTAAAAGGAAAAAAAATGTAGAGAGAAGGGTAAAGGACGATCCCCAACTAGATGGCTCAGTTGGATAACCCAGCATAGGGGTTCTACATCACAATGCAAATGGCCGCACACAGGAGCCGATGGAGACAATTTGTCAGATCCAAGGTGATGCCAGGATGATCACGATCACGAGGGAACAACCGGGAGAGAGATGAAATGCTTACCAAGGGCGCTCTTTGGGTTTAATCCACCTCTGGCTACATACTAAATGGAACTTTCCAGAAATATACAGGGTGCCACTTCTAGACAACTTATTCTACAGGTTGTTGTTTTTAAAGGGATTTCGCAAAATTGTCTCTCGTGGTGAAATTTCTGCGGAAACTTTAGTTTTGATGGTGTGACTCGAATCTCGAGTGTACGTACATAGTTTAGATTAGTTGGAAATGTTTCCTTGTAAGTTTAGGCGAGATTTGTACGTGTGTTGTGGCCTGTGTCTTATTACTTACAGGAAATTTAAAACTTGACTTGCTGCTTGGCTGTAGTTTAGGAAATAGGACGTATTGTTAATTAGAACTGTTGCCAGAAGGTTGTAGAAGGTTGTAATCTCAATTTCTAATTTATTTTCTATATATTTTTTTTTAAGGGGGAAAATCATCGAATGACTGCTCCCGCCTGGGTGAGGCGGGAGGAAGTGTCAGACTCTTACTGACTAAAAACCACCCCGTTCCTTCTCCTGCACGTCGAGCCGGAGCCCCGGTTACCCGTTAGGTTTTCCGCGACTCCGAATCGGCATCGGCACAGTTGGACCCCATCTGTGGTATTTTCTATATATAGGTATATTTTCTCTATATATATTCTCTATTTGACCTTTAAAACTGCAACAACCCTTCTGCCAAGCGCCAAGATTAACTATATTCCAGCAATTAGACTGAAACTAACCCTAGCAAGGAGTTCCAGGTTTTATACTATTTAAAAATTGACACAAAGTAGGTCTCTTTTAAAGTTCAGTCTTAAAAATAAAATAAATAAATAAATAGTACTTACAAAAGTTGTGTTTGGCATAAGTGTTTTCGTGGTCTGGTTGGCTGCAAACATAAGGCTGATACCGCCGTAGGTGTCACGGAATATAAACTCATCACCTGAAACAAAAAGAAACCTTATTTAGTAAACTATAGAGGTAATATTTGCTTAACAATCCATGTCTATCTATTATAACCCGAAGGTTCGATCGAGAAAAGTTATTATTAACTGTATATCGACTTCTAACACTATGACGTAAACACAATATATTGGTTCACTCGTGAATCGAACTGGCGGCGTAAGTCAGAATAAATTTCCACTAAGATCAATAAATAGGAACTGGATTCCTTAGTTGGTTCGTATGCCACCCACTGGAAGAGCGATGGTGACAAATGTTACGTAAAATATGTACCTATATACAACAGATGTTTACTTCTTTATCATATTAGTTAAGGCATTGGCTGCCAATAAAAAACTGTTGAAGGCAAATCCTCCGCTAATGTCGGTCACCGGTGACTACCATGGCGTATAACGTGTTAATCAACAACTTACAATAAAATATTCTAACCAATCACCTTAAGAGGATTGTTGAAAAATGAATTCGCCCGATATTAAAGTTTGTTACCGAAACAAACATTTAATGTATTCGCCACATGAAACAACCAAAGAGATTTGTTTGTATGTTCTGATCTCCTGGTATGTGCTCTTTAAAATACCAGGAGTTCAGCAGTATTAGTTTCAATTTGTGTGTTTGAGAGGAATTGTACTTGAGAAAATCATACATAGATTTTAAAAATATATTTGTTCATACTAAATTTATTTACGCTTATTAGGGACAGTTTTGTGTACATGTATTAGCCTGTACGTTTAGTTAATATTCTTTGTGCTTATGTTCTTTTGTTTTTCTTTGTCTACATTATTTTACGGTTATTAAGGGATTATATGTAATAGTTAATGTTGATGAAGGTTATTAGGTTAAATAAAAACAAAAATAAATATTTTTAAGTTAATTAGTTATTGTGGTATCAAACCTAGCAGCAAATAACTAATTGTTATTTCTTTATCAATACTTCATACCTCACACTCAATAATGTATTTTTCACATGAAGAAAAGACTTCGTAGTTATATCATCATCATATTAGCCATAAGACGTTCACAGCTAACATAGGCCTCCCTTAATAACTTCCATATAGGCCCATTGGAAGCGACCTGCATCCAGAGGCTCCACGCGACCTTTACCAGGTCGCCATTTCACATTTATTTTATTGAACACGATTTAAAACAACCCACACAAACTAACCACCATTAGAAACTACCGATCTATGTACCAGGAGCTTATATCTTGACGGAGTTTACTCTAATGTGGTCACATAGTTGGTTAATGTACCACATAATGGCGCTAGACGCATTAGCCGTATCGTTCTAATGGCTGTCGGAATTAATTGTAAATACTTTACTAAGTATGCAATTACCATCAATCTTCCTTTAAATGCATGTTATTATTATTTCAAGTGGGTTTGGTGGTAGAATGTATGTTACAACATGTTTTAAATGGTAATTTAGGATGGTGTGTTATTTAAATGAAGATTATTACTATAGCTCTCTCTCTTTTATATCTAATTTTTACAGTTGCAAAGTACTTTATACACTATAATGCGCGAAGTTTCTAAAATGAAGAAAACAAGATGCGTTTTAAAACATTTTTTCTTTTTTTTTAACTGTGTGACATCTTGAAGTCTTTCATTTTGTTTCTCTAAACACTTTACAATTATGAAATAAGACAACATTTGGAATATGAAGGTTAAAATAAAACGCTAACGCACACTTAGAAGACAATATCAATTCTCTACAAAGCATTGATGTTATTATAGCTGCATGATTGCGCGCTACAAGATGCTACGCATTGCTACGTAAATTCGTAGCGCTACGAGCTGCTACGCTGAGCACGAGGTAGTATTACGGAATGTTGATTGTGATGGAAAGCTAGTACTATAAACGCCGTATCTATAACAAACTAGCGTCAAACATTAATGTTATATTTACATCACACATGTGAATGTGTAAGCTTATAAGTGGCCACTTCTGACCAAAGACCTCTTCTCCCACGAAGAAGGTTTGAGCATTAATCACCACACTTCTTCAATGCGGGCTAATGATTTCAAACTTATAATTAAACATTACAAGCCCAGGTTACCTCACGACGTTTTCCTTCACCGTTTGTCAGTAGTGTCTAAATTATCTTAGAAAGTACATATAAATCGGAGAAAGTCACATTGGTACTTTCCATTGGTAAGATTCAGCATCATCATACGTGAGCAGCGGGCACTTTAAGCCTCCAGTCCACCATGACCTTAAATGATATATACTTGAATATGAAATGTTATAAACCTCGTCGTAAAACTTGTGTGTCCCTATTAGAGTAGTTCATGGGCTTGAAGATAGGACAGGACCCTTTCATAATTATCCTTTACTAATACAGAAGCAAAGTGAAAAGAAATCTATGTTACAATGTAATTAGTGCGGTGGTTTGCTCAGTTGCCTGGCGGACGGGTTATCTCACCGCGTCACAGACACTCTGCCGATGACCGGATTGTATAATTACGGTCCATTGTGAGTTGACCGCCTGTTACACCGGACCGTAATTTCCCTGGCGTGGAACTTGTCTGTGATATTAATTATGTTCTTTTTGTTAAGGTTTTTTTTACGTTTTTCAATATTGAGTGTTAGGAAATGTGATACGTTTTAATTTCCTTAGGGCCGATTTTTCCAATGCCAGATAAATTTTAACTGAGGAATAACTTGGAATATTTGACAATATTCTTCCATACTAAAAACTGTCAAATTTCAATTTTAGTCTACAGTTAAAAATGAATTTATGACTGAAAAATTGGCCCTTGAGGCACTAAATGGGTGGGGAACTAACGATATTCTTTATTAGTTTTTAAGTTAATGAAGTAACTGTTTGAAAACTTAACTTTTTTAAGGTAATAATTTGATTTAGAGCAAAGGAGGTTTCAGTAAACATAAGATTTTAAACAAACAAAAGTAGGCATTAATACAATGACGTAAAGTAAAAAAAAAATCAAACAAAAGAATCAATTTCCTAAAGACATACCCTTCATCACCATCTTATACAAACAAACGAAATTAAATAAAAGAATTCGTCAACAAACAAAAAGTTTCACAACACGTCATCACCACGTCACAAACAGTACAGAGTATGTAATCAAACAATCGTGCGTCGTCCTCCTATTCCACCGTAATGTAATTCTCCTAATTCGGCAGTCTTCGAGGTAATTGGGTAGAAAGGAAAAAGTAATGGGAAACCTGATTTCATGATTATTGTTCGTAACGAGATCAAGAGATAAGGAAACTCCATGATTTCTTCGTCTTTGCTCCTAATTTCTGTATTAGATATTGCTAACCTTTTCATGGAGTGGTTTTGATGAGTTACAGAACTCGTAGTAATGCTTATTTCATTATTGTATTGTTGTATTGATTTTGCATATTATTGTAATATAAGTAGATATCTCATTGTCTGCTTCTGCCTGCCTCGTTGGTCGAATGGTCGCAAATGCGACTGCCGGGCAAGGGGTCTCAGGTTCGATTGCCAGGAAGGGCAAAGTATTACTATATTTTTTTTAAATTCTTAGTAGTAGTACTGAGTCTGGAATTGTGCCCGATATATGGCAATAGGCTCACCCCCTATTTCATGGGACTCATAACATAAATAGTGAAAAGTGGGTGTTACATTGTACAGTGGCATTAAGTGCCGTAATGTGTATCTCAGCCTACCCGTTCGGGGATAAAAAGGCGTGATGTTATGTTATGTAGATGTAAATAGAGGTGTGGGTATTGTGTATCGGTTATGCCTAACATTGTTTTTATAATAACTATGAGACGTGACTAACGAATAACTCGTAATTTTTAGTTATGATCTAATATTAATTAAGCTTTAAAAGATTGCAGAATTTTTAAGTTGAAAATCTTGGTCTCCAACAGTTTGAACAGCCTCTAGAATCAAATTCTAAAAAAATATCTCACTATAGTCAGAATTTTAATTAGATTCCAGATTTGACAATAGCTACTGTCATTTTGTGAAATAATGATACCACTAATAATAGTTTAGTGATGAACACAAAAATCGATAAACAATCAGTGTGTGTGTTTTATAATAAATGTTACAGAAAGTGACAGGATAGCGATAGCGATGACGGCGACAATTTATAAAATAACTTATTACCATAATACATCTGTTTTATTTGCCATGTTCCTTCATGATTACATTTTTTTATTTATTTCACACACAATTATAAAAGAAAAGTCTCAGATCGTTAATTAATCGTCAAAACTAAATGATCGGTTCAGAAATATTTAATTTCCTGATATACTTAGTTTACGAGAGTAAAATTATACACGAGAAGAATCGATCCAGAAATATTGCATTTCCATATCGAATAATTTCACAACGTCACTATTTAGTACTTGTCATAACGTTGCCACACTGAAATTGTCAAATCTGGAATCGAATTAAAATTCCGAGTATACACTTTTACTTAAGATTTATAAATAATTGAATGTACAAGAATTACAATTTGTACATTATTCATATATGGTTTATCATGTAGTAGACATACAAAGTAAAAAGCGTACAACATTTATTATTCACCATAAAATACACAACACATAGAAATATCGCAAATAAGCGTACAACAAAGCGATAGCTAATGGCAACGATAAAATATGATTACATACTTGGTCCACCACAAACGATATTTGTTTACTGCATGGGGCACGCGAGCGAACCGATTTAAATCGATTACGGTGTGACGAGCGGACCGCTGCCAATTTCACGTTATTACAGCACCAATCAACGTAATTATTTCACATTTTATAATGAAATTATTTGATTAAAATCGATTTGATTTGAATCGATATTATTTTAGGCTGGATTTTGTTATGCAGTACACGTTACTGGCTGGTACGTGCCATTTGAATACGGAAGGTAAATTCGGAATTTCGAATATAGAACGTTAGAATATTGCGGTTTTGTTGAGCTGTCAAAACGGTTCAGTAATTTCAATGGTAGCAGGTAAATAAAGTTGTTTATTTACTGAGTTCTTTGCGTAATATTTATTTTCAAACATGTTTACGGCATATACATGTGTATACAAAGCTACGTATATAAATACATGTGGCGTTGTAGGTTTCCTCAATTGTTATGTATATGAATATACATACGTTAACTTACCACCTTTGAGTCTTGAATATGAGATTGTATTTTAACTAAGTTGGTACATTGTCAATTAATATGATTTTGGTTAAAGTTCAGTGCCAACTTTAAAATAATATTTCATCGACTATACCGATTACCTGGGCTTTTAGCCAAACGCCACTTCAGCGCTTGTCTACAGAGAGAGTAGAAATCAAAATGTATGGCAATGACACTGACAAATATCAAAATTTACGTCAATTCCATATAATTTGGTTTTCTATTCTACATGTAGACAAGCGCTAAATGGCGTTTGGATACAGCTGCTGTTTTGTTACGTGAGCATCCTTACTCAAGATGACAGTATCATTATATTTATTTCTATACACTATAGGAATCATACCACTGACATTCCAATACGCATAAAATATACTTGTATATTTTTATCTGTAGTTGAACACAGACGGTTTTCAGGTCAACACGAAATCGCCATTGCGTGATTAGGTAAATAGTACATTCATGATATGTACTCATTATCTTTGTAATATAAGTACTAATTATTGCTATTATTAGACCTAGGTGGGCTAGATACATGTTACACTAGATTTAATATGTGGGAATATGTTATTCGAACAAATTAATCGGAGACCAAAATTTTGTGAGATTCTGGTCGGTAGCTTCTTTATTGGCTATACAACAGCATAAAACGCACTTGAAAATACATAATATACACTCTTGCCAGTCCCATATAATATCTGGCCTACATTTTTGACTTAATGCTACATTCTTCTGAAATATTCATAATTTTTATACTCAGAACCTGAGAACTTCTCTTCATCCGAAAACCAAGAAAATGTTTTTTGAGGGGAAAATCATCATGACTCCATCCAACCTGGGCGAGGCTAGAGGAATGTTATTGACTAAATAACATCCCGTTTTAGCTAATGCTTTGAGCGGGAGGCACGGTAACACCTAACGCTTCTCCATAACCCCGATTAAAATTTGAGCCTGAGATACATACCAGGACTAGTTCAACCATCGAATCAATAACAACACTATCCAAAAATCCACATCGACTACACCTCTGTTAAGCTTCAATCTCTCCGGGAAATTACAATCACATAACGAAATGACACACCTACTTTCAAATCTCCCACACAGCGGCGTTCGAACAATTGCAGATGTTATCAACGCCGCGTCGTATGCGGGCCGTTGACAACTCAAACACGACGGCTGAATGCTCAAACACTAGTCGCCATTCAAAACTCAGGGATCCATTTAAATTGAACTCCGAACTAGTTTTGATGGAGGGAATATCTAGGTAGGTATGTAGGTGGTGTAGGTTTGTAGGGAGAGAGTAAAAGAGAGAAAAAAATAGAAGTGATTTTGGAACTTACGTTTTTTTTTTAAGGGGGGAAATCATCGAATGACTGCTCCCGCCTGGGTGAGGCGGGAGGGAGTAGCAGACTCTTACTGACTAAAAACCACCCCGTTCCTTCTCCTGCATGTCGAGCCGGAGCCCCGGTTACCCGTTAGGTTCTCCGCGACTTATGGTTAATGTAAGTAAAAATAGTGGTAATTTTATTACTTGGCAATATTTTCAATGTCATAAGAAAAGACGCAGTATACCACAAGCTACAAATAAAGCCACGAGACCTCAGTGTGGTGACATGAAGTAAAGACAAACAATAAGGACACTTTTACATTTATAATATTAGGTAAGGAGAAAGGGATATTGAGAGACGCTGGTTCAACGTTCAGCCTAGTCATTCTCAAATAACAGATTTAAACTAGATGACTGCGAGATATACAAACTTTCTATGTTCTAACAAATATCTATTTTAAAACACTATGTATTACGTTAAACTTGACTAGCAGCTATTTCCATCTCTAATATACCAAACACAGGAACTTTGAGACATTTAAATTTTGTTTCACATACAAAACTAAGTTAGGAAGAGGTCTCTGAACTTCGTTAGCAATTGGTTCGGGTACATGTCCCTACAAATTAAAGTAAGTTCTGGCTGTAGGCCAGAACAGTAGCGAGGGTTAGAACATGACTAGACTACATTTATTTCGAACAATACATGTTTTCATTAGCGGTCATGTTAATGTGAATTGTAGAAAATGCACGAAATCTTCGACAAGGGTTGGGTGAGAATTATTATTTGGGTTGTCTAGATTTATTTTTATTACTAAGGAACAAGATAGGTGATAAACGGTGAAGGAAAACATCGTGAGGAAACCTGGACTTCTAATTTTTGTCTTCTTTTAAATCTTCTTACATTTTTGTTTGTATTTACTTTTACTATTTGATCTATACATTTTTCTAATCACAACTTTTCACACACATACGCACGCATACACATATGCACACATAGTCTGCAGAATTTATTTTATCTATTTAATTTCATATTTAAATTTATTTTCTTTTCCTTATTGAGGGGCGGTACCGCCGTCCGTGAGTCACTGCAGGGTGCCACCTGAAAATCAGCGTTGGGCAGGAATGCTCAACTATATGCTGAGGTGGAGGCCCTTTTGGCATGTGCACACGCAGTATTATATTATTTATATTATGGTGTTTTTTTTTGTGTATTTAATTTGTCTTTATATCAAAAACTTATTTCAATTGTTTCATATGTACATTATTTTCTTATATTTTGATGATTTTTATTATTTTCTTTATGCTTTTATGTTTCCTTTTGATATTATGTATTTGTGTAAGTATGTACTTGTATTTTTTTTTTCTCAGACTCGGTATGATTCCGGTCTCCGTTCTGAGGTAGATCCGCTAAAGATACCGCAGCACAGGACAGCGGCTTTCAGGGGCAGTTTTAAATTTGCGGCGACTCGCTGCTGGAATGATCTCCCACCACCATTAAGAGGCCTAAAAGCAACACAGTCGTTTAAGTACCAACTTAAAAGAATGCTACTGCATCAACAACTTTCTCTCCAATAACTTTGTCTTTAGCAAGATTTTGTTTAATTTGCAAGGTGTGTATGTATGTACGGGTGTGGGGTTTGTTTTGGAGAGGAGGTTTTTGATCTTATTTACTGGCATTTTATACATTGTTGTTGTTTACCACATGAGTCCTGGCCTGCCGCCACGGGTGGGATCTCCAGCTGGGCGTCGCTGGCGCGGGTCGCTGCCTGTTGCCACGTGTCCGCTGTGTCCTGGTGCTCGCGGCGTATCTGTTTTTGACTTAGCTTGGCCGTCCACAGTGTCCTGTGTCTCTTGTCCTGCTCCGGTACTGGTATGTGGTACCGGTTCAGGAAATCCACCTAAAATACATATCACAGGATATTAGGTAGTGACTCACACTGACTGCATAATACTATACCTCTAGACTATGGTGATACCATGTACGTTACTACAACTTATTACACATTATTACATAATATACATTGATACAATTTGTTCCTAGTATATCTACACTTCACAACTATTAATGCACACATTTATTTATTTATTTACTTAATATCTTACTTATTTATTATTACTCGTTTGTTTGTTTAGATTGTTCATACTATAATTATACACACTCACTATATTATCAGCATGTTCTCCAAAAGCGCCGCGCGGTGCGGTGGTTGATCAGCGGCGTCTCTGCTTTGGTTGCACTTTCTTTCAAAAACACCATACACCACAAAGACCATTATAACGTTATTTTACTGTAATACACATTCAGATGCCGGTTTGTATAAACGGGGACGCCATTACCGCTTACCGGTACCTACTGCGTCGTCGCGTGCGCTTGAGGTTATTAGCGAATGTGACATCTGTGATTTAAATGTCAGTGTCAAGCATGCATTTAGTTCGCGAGATTTATTATTAATTACTTATTATTATTTTTTTATTTTCATCACATTGTTTATTTTAATTTGTATGTACCTATATATATTTTTTTTGTTATTATATGTATAATATTATTAGTCACGGGCAAGTGCTGAAAATCAGCGCCGCGACTCGACCACACTCGTGTCGCGGCATTTAAGCTGAGCTCTGGCCTTTTTGCGCCGTCTTTGTTATATTGTTTTATATTTTTGTTATATATTGTTTTATATTTTTGTACCTTGTGACGGTGTGCAAATAAACTATTTTTCTTTCTTTCTTTCTTTCTTTCTATGTTTGTGCGGTTACACATGAGTTTTTATTTACATAGAATTATTTACATTTCTTACATATGTTTATGGTGGAAATCTGAAAACCCTTTCCCATATAAGTTTTCACGTCAGCCCGAGGCAAACAAAAACTTGGCTTTCTCAATATTAGCTCAGCAAACATGCCTTCTGTGCCATTTGACTTGGATAAGTTTTTACATTTTTTGTGTGTTCGCCCCGATTTACTATTTGGTAATCCTGTGGAAGGGCGTTTAGATTGTTTACTGCTTATTTGTAGTAAGGACTATTGGTCGCTAGATGGCGGTAGCAGCAATTATGGTCTTTGTTATTTATTAGAGTATGTATATAGTTGAAAATATAAAGACAGTGACAGAAGTGTACCTGTACACTAAGTAAAAGTCGCTATCGGTTCGATTCTTGGATTAATTAAAGATTTTCGAAATTTGTTCAATAACAAAATGTCCGTTCTATTGCACTAGGCTCACCTCAAATAAAATTACACTTATTACCTAACCGGTAAACAGTGGGTGGTACATTTTAATGTGCACTTTTTTATGGTATACGCAGGCAAACGAGCAAATGGATCATCTGATGGTAAGCAATTGGCGTCGTCTATAGACACCTAGAACATCAGAGGCGTTACCGGCCTTTTAGGGATAAGAATTTTGAAGATTGTTGGAGATTCAAGGATTGGGGAGATTGGAGAAGGAGGGAAGGGGTAATCGAGCCCCCGGTAACCTCACTCACACGAGGGAATACAACGCGAGCGTTGTTTCGCGTCAGTTTTCTGTGAGGCCGTAGTAACGAGCCGGCCCATTCGTGCCGAAGCAGGGCTCTCCCACACCTCAATACTTATTAATACTTATAATACTTAACTTTCGATGTTTAAAAGACATTATGCCATATTTATAAACACCGACTCATTTCTACACCCACACAATTCTACAAACGACACACAAACACAGAAACACTCTTTGTTCGCTCACCCCTTCAAAAATACACGACAAAAATATATTATGTATATAATAAATAATATTATTATACAATGTTAATAACAATGAATGTGTACCTACATAACTAAAAATGTTGTAAGAGGCCGCTAAGTATTAAGCACTGTAATAATTTTATAACCACCATCTGTACACTTAGTTGCAATAAACGCTTTGACTTTGACTTTGACTATGTATTGAAATACACACACCCTATGTATCTTCGGGCTGTATATGAGGAAGTTGGTACATGTTGTATTAGTTTGTGCTTGAGTTGCTAAACTGGCTCGCTAATGTATTGATGCAGGTTCACTATTACGTTTGTTTACATTTATTGTGGTTATTGTATCAGTATATACCTACATAAGGGAATTCATATAGGTTTGTACATAGTTATACACATACATACAACATCACGCCTTTTATCCCCGAAGGGGTAGGCAGAGGTGTACATTACACCCACGTTTCACTATTTATGTTATTACTCCCATGTAATAGGAGGTGAGCCTATTGCCATATACCGGGCACATTTCCAGACTCCTTGCTACTACTGACAATTTTATTTTATAAAACCCAGTAATACTTTGCCCGACTCGGGAATCGAACCCGAGACCCCTTGTCCGGCAGTCGCACTTGCGACCACTCAGTCAACAAAGCAGTACATAATTATATTGTTAATATTTCTAGCATTCACTTAAAGGTATGTAGTTATTTGTGGCGATCTAATCGATTTTTTAAGGGGGGATAATCATCGAATGATGCTCCCGCCGGGGTGAGTGGAGGGGAGGAAGTGTCAGACTCTTACTGACTAAAAACCACCCCGTTCCTTCCCCTGCACGTCGAGCCGGAGCTCCGGTAACCCGTTAGTTCTCTGCGACCGCGACGTTTTAAATGACTTAGGATTGATATTTCCGACGTCATATAATAGTTCGATAAACAAGGAGATAAACAGTTGACAGCACGGTTGGTGTGAAGGCTGGGCAACCGGCTGTCGGGCAACATGTAGCGGGATTCCTGCACGAAGCAACTCTTACTATTATCCACAAATTGTTGTTTCAAGTCTAGGTATGATGTAAACGTGAAGCACCTACGACACAGGACAAATCCTAGTGTGGGGCCTCCTTAAAAGAATCATTTAAATCATTCAAGGAACAAATTCTAGTTTTGTGTCATAATATTCGGTTATACATATTAATTCAAATCCATTTTTCTGAAAGGTAAAGACAAAGCCTTTCCATTAGAATTCAATTTAATATCTTTTTAATAAAACAAATACAACATTACCTCTTCAAATATGTATGTGGAACCTTTGAAAAGGTTTTTAATTCAAGTTGAGTACACTCTTTGTTGAAAAAGCGACCGTATTATATTTATATAGAGATTAATTTAATTAAGAATCGAGTACCCAATTGATTTTCATTGAATCGGAAGGTTAATGTACAATGAGGAACAAAAGTTAGTGTAATTGGGTACTTTTGTTAGATACTCTTTATGTTTGAAATAGAGATGAGTTGCGTGACTGATAAGCCAAGTATCTAGGGATCAAGGGGTCGGTGTTTAGTTCGGGCTAAGTAATATTGTGTTATTTCCAAATCAGTTTAAAGTCAAAATCAAAGTCAAACCATTTATTTCAATTAGAACAGAAGGCATTTTTGAACGTTAACAAATAAAATAAAAGTGAATCTATTTTCTATAGGCAAATAGTCTATAAGTAATGTACATAATTATGTATGATAACAACTGGTTGAGCCGGCACGCAACCTATGTTTGGTTTTGCAGTAAACAATGCTCGAAATTGTACATTTTAAAAAAAGTGTACATTTTATACGATAAAAAGACAATTAACTTTTGTCGCTAGTTGTACGTGCATATAGGTGGAAACATTAACAGGTTCGATTCAATTAGGCACACAATGGAGGCCGCTTGATAGCCTCCATTGAATTGTAAATAAAATATTGTTCGATATTATTTTAATGCCACGACTCTATGTGCATTTATCTAGGTAGTTAATATTCAATTCTTGGATCAAACAATAAATAATTGGAAAACAGAAATTTCCAGTTGCGTGAATGTAATGTAGATTCTGGGTATTTTATACTTATATATAGGAATAAAGACACTTTTTGTTTCATGGAAATAATATATCAAATGCTTTTTAAATCCCAAAGTAGTAGGCAGAAATGAATGTTCGAATGTTATGTTCTAATATAATAAGCTTGTAAAAAGAAAAAATCAGTCTATTGCCCTACACCAGGCACAATTCCAGACTTGGTGATAACATAACATAACATCACGACTTTTAGGGGGTAGGCAGAGGTGAACATTAAAGCATTTTATGCCCCTGTACAATGTAACACCCCCTTTTCACTATTTATGTTATGAGTCCCATGTAAAAGGTGGTGAGCCTATTACCATATACTGGCCACAAGTTCGGACTCCGTGCTACTACTGATAATTAAAAAAAAACCAATAACACTTTGCCCGACCCGGGAATCGTACTCGTAATCGTACCTTAACGTAATCGACCACTCGACCAACGAGGCAGTCACTTGGTGTTATTCGTGAGTACACGGATACACTCCATCAATAATTCTACCCTTACCTGCTGAATTACAACTTAGACCAACAAGACAGTCTTTTTTACGCATAAAGGAAAAATAAGGGTTCTTTATCTGAGACTTAACTTTGAGATTGTATCACAATACATTCTCACTAGTAGTAATAAATATAGTGAACAAGAAAAAAATGTACGAGAAATGTTATTTCGAGAGAGAAAAACAGTAGCAGACGTTCAGAGTCGAATGGTTCGGTTCAGTGGAGCAGAAACACGGTACGAAAACGTGTGTCGATGTCGAAAGACTTCTAGACTTGAAAGAGATCAGAGGCGGCTGGAAATACACAGGGTTGAGAATTTTGTGTATAAAAAAAGTTGCTAAAAATAAGTGTTAATATATATAAATATTACGTATCGTCGTCATCATCTGCAGAAAGATGTCCCTGTTAAAATTGGCGTAACCCTTGGTTCGATGCTATGAACGATAAAATACGATAAATAAATCCGAACTCTATGCTATACTGAAAAGTTGTGAAGTAATTTTATGATTGTGCGATTTGTGTATTGGAAAATACATGCATGCCTTTCCTTAAATTCGGTGTTTCACTAACTGTTGATCAACTATATGACCAACGATGAAGCAACTCGGGACTTGAAGACACCCTTCTAGAAAAACAGAGATCGGCAATTGGGTATTTGCCAGCTAGTCAAAGTGAAAACTTCAAACTGTCAAAAACGATAGATGAATTTTATACGTTTTTTTTAGCGTCAAACAGAATACTTATTTCTTATTACAGGAAGATTACTATACTTAATTATGTTAGTCATAAAATCAATTAATAAAAGTGTGACCATTTTTTAATATTTTATTATATATGACAGTCGAAATAATTTATGTTTGATTGAGGAAAGTACCCAATTCTATGTATGTTTGAAAAGAAACTACGAGTCCTCTATACGTTACTATCTCTCCACCCCTGAGGGAACAACGCACGAATATTAAAAAACAGACGAATAATAATATTTGAATACAAGCAAATATGTCAAAATTATATTTGTGACTAATATAGAGCACGGTACAGTCAAGGTAGCAAGTTTTGAAATGTGGTTACATTGTGTTGGAGGCTTACAAGATTGAGTTTAGAAGTTGTGGTGTACAAACGGCTTATAATAATTAAAATACATCGT